TCGACTCCTTTGGCCTCGCCGTCGATGTCATCCGCACGCTCGGTCGCGCCACCAATTACCTCGACGACCTTGAGTTCCTCATCCTTTGCATAGCCCACAACATCAGACGAAAATATGGTTCCCTCGTCGAAAATCCCCGCAAACTCGAACGAGAACATGGGTTCATCGTCGATCTCGATACCCTTGCGCTCGGCTTCTTGCTCGTATGATCCTGGGAACTTCTCATCGACCTCGGCTTGTTGCTCTTCCTTCATGTTTTTGAGTTGTCTTTCATACTCTTCCTTTTGCTCGTACATCTCCTCCAAATACTCTTGCTCCCAAGGGGTTAATTCCCTCTCCAAACTTTCGAGGTATTCGAGATCTTCCCAATCCAACTCAACTAATGGCTCAAACATCATGATTCTCTCTTTTTTTTTATGACTCTAAGAATAAAAATTCGAACCAAAAAATTCAAAAACAAAGAGAAATTCGGCTCCTCAACAAAAGGTAATAACCGAAAAAAATAACAAAGGACTAACAAGATGACACTTTTATTTTTTTTTAAGACTCACCAAAAAAATTGAAAAATTCGAACAAAAATTCGAAAATTTCGAACAAAAGATAACAAAAATTCGGTCCCCTCAGCAAAAGGCAAAACTGAAAAAAAAAGATAGATAGATAACAACACGATCAGCACCTCTCAATGAAAGCACTAATGATGAATGACCGTGTTTTTATCTATTATACGGGGGTTGTGAATAAACGTGCACTCAGGGCCTTCGTTTATCCTAGATAGGTGTATCTAACAGATGCACTATCGGCCTTCTCCTAGACACTGTGACTTTAGGATGCTCTAATGGCCTTCTCTCCGACACTGTATGTAAACACGCACTAACGGCCTTGTTTAAACACACGCAAGAACATAAGTTCCCCTCTCAATTGGCTCACCAATTCAATACTCAATTCAACATAAAATTATTATGAGGTACATGGGTATTTATAGGTGCAAAATAAATCTAAGCCTAATAGATCTAGATCTCCTAATTCTTGCAATAATAGAAATCCTAATACTAGAAAGCAATAAAATCCTACTACTACCAAAATACTAATGCTTGGCTTGCACACCAAGCAATTCTAGAAGCTCAAGTTGCCGCCCCAACTTATTCGGCCATCTCATATGCGCGCGCCTTCGGGCTTTCCTACTCCTCGGCACGCGAGGCACCGCGCCTTGCCTGCCTCGCACACGCACGCCCCTGCCTCGCCTAGTCCCGTGCGGACTAGGCTTTGTCCGTCTGCCTCGCATGCGCACGCCATTCCTATTCCTTGAAGGACCATGCTTCAAGCCCATATCCTCTATTCCTATTCCTACTAGGAATATGCTTCCGGTTATGTTTCTTGATCTTCCAAGGATTACTCCCGTCACCGATCTTCCACGCGCGTTCCATCACTCAACTGCTTTTCCTATTCCTGCGAGGACTAGTATTCGCGCCTTGCCTATTCCTACGAGGATTAGGCTTGCCATCCCGGTCTTGACTTGTGCCTCGCGCGTGTCGCCGTGCGCCCCGCGCTCGTCGTCCAGCGTGCCCAATGCCCGTGCATCGCCCATCACGTACACCCGTGCACCCCATGCCATCCGCGTGTCGCTCCACCCCTCGCACGCACCCTCTCGCTCGCTCGTCCTCTCGCACTCGCTCGTGCGCCTAAGCGCACTCGCTGTCCATCCGCCGTAGTCCCTCGCGCGCATCAACCACCCAACATCCACCCCTTGCGCGCCACTTCGCCTAACCTCCAAGCGCCATGCGTGTCTACGCTAATGCGCGTGTGTGCGCCCTTGCTTAATGCACCTATCCGTGCGTACTCTCTCTTTATTACGAGACTCCCGTCGACTACCCCGTGTTCGCATCGACTCTTGCCGCTTCTCACGTAATCGTGCGCCTCGCATACGAGCTCGTACCCGTCTCTTAGGCCATGCATGCGTCGTTTTGGCCCTTTTTCTGGCCTCATAGCGTCGTCTCGGCTCCTGGCCCTTCTTTTCCTTGGGGATCAAAACCCACTTACGCATCACAGCCGCACCCGCCAGCGCATGGACCAAGCCCAGCAAGCGCAAGCCAGCGTCAGCAGCGCCGGCAGCACCCAGGCCGCGCCCAGTGTGCGCACACGACCGTGCCGGTGGCCAGCCAGCGGCCGACTGCCCGGCCGTAGCGAGCCGACGGTCCGGCCAGTCAGTGAACCGGCCAGTTCAGACCAGTTACTTGAGTAGTTCAGGACTCAGTGGCCTGGTCCGAGTTCAGTTCAGTATTGCAGTTAATTTTTCAGTCCAGTCAGTTCAGTATACCAGTATCAGTTCAGTCCAGTTTTCTTGTCAGTTAAGTTAGATCCCGAGATTGTTCCAGTTAAATATTAGATCGAGTCGAGCATCCTAACAGCTATTTCAGTCAGTCTGAGCATAGTACTTAGTGTTTGTTTATTTATATATTTTCACATTTTGACCAGCAGCAGCACTTATAGTTTCAGACTAGCAGTTCAGGTGGGGACTTAGAATAATTATTACATTGACTATAATTACAACTATCATGTTCAAGGTATGTATATTCAGTTCCTGCTCAGTGAGGCTAGACAAAGTAAGACCATCTGAGTTCTAGTGGCATAATCTACCCACTAGAGTGTGCACATAGGCGCAGCGCAGTATTTATATAGCCACTAGATACAGCATTCGATCCCGTAGCAGATACGGTTGATCGCAGTTACAGTTAGATGACATGACAGTTCCAGTTATATATACCATTGATCATGATATTGCAATTGTTATTGCTGTTTACATTAGTGTGAGTTTTTGCGGAGCATAGTGGCTTTAGTGCTCACGCCCCTACTATATTATTCTTTTTCAGGTCATAGGGTCGGTCCCGAGGAGTGAGCGAAGCCGGTGGTCGCGGGTTCGAGTATATACTGTTTTGCAGACTTTAACATGTATATATAGTTATTTTGCCACAAATATACTTCCGCTGTCATTTTCAGGTTTTGGTCTGATTTCTCAGTCGGATCTTGTACAGTTTTACATGCTTAAGATAATCCATTTTTCTTAACAATTTTAATTCAGATTGGATAACGAATTTTTAGAAAAGAAAGTCTTTTTCAGTAGCATCCCGAATCACGATTTCGCAAACTAATACATATTTTTAGAAAAGAATTGCGAAAATTTAACTCTGATTTTAATAAGGTAGCGGGGTGTTACAATTGGTATCAGAGCACGTTTTTGGTGTGTCTGAATACTTTATTAAGTTAGAAAATGTTTAGAAAACCCGACCACGCTACGCTCACGCCTCGCCGACTACCAGGTACGTGCTGAGTTATAGTTTATATATTTAAACGAATACCTAAGTCTATGCTCAGTAGAGGGTACCAGATATTTAACCCTAGAAACCAGTAAGATGCCCGAGTCAAGTCACAGAGTATTTTCCAGAATATAGTCGATTGTCCCAGTTATTCGATAATTCGACTCCAGTTTTCTCGGGGTAATTTAGCGACTCGTCAAGAAATTTGTGTGCCTAATCAGTCAGTTAATATGTTATGTTATTAATCATGTCGAACATTTTAATGTTCAGATGCCGCTCGTAGAGATCCTGATCACCAGGAGGTCCCCTAGGCCACTGTAGTCTCTCAGTTTCGCGACTACCACCCAGAGAAGTTCTCCGGTCAGGGAGATCCCCGACTTGTCGATGAGTGGATCCAGGGCATCGATATGATAAATAATTTCATGGACTGTCCAGATTGTTACCGCGTACTCTGCGCCCAGATTCAGATGACGGGCGACGCACGCCTCTAGTTGAATGCCTACTGGGGGATGCGTCCCTGCGAGAAGGAGCATTGTACGTGGAACAGGTTTAAGGAAATACTGCGCGAAAAGTATTATCCAGCTTATTAGCGCGCAGAGCTCGAGCGTCAGTTCTTGGCGCTTAAACAGGGTACCCGTTCTGTAGACGAGTACGAGCGCGAGTTCACTCGACTCGGCTTCTTTATTCCCGAGTTATTGGGTTTGGAGGAGAAGAGATCGAGACGTTTCATCGACGGACTTCTACCAGCAGTTCGTCACAACATCGTTGGACATAGAGCCCAAACCTACGCCGATATCGTTTCCAGAGCCCAGAAGATTGATGCCAGTATCCAGAGGGAAGCCATACCGATTCCCGCCCAACCAGTTGCTCAACCACCTGCCCAACCTGTAGCGGCGCAACAACCAAAGAACAAAGGGAAGAGGAAGTTCAGAGGACCCCAGGACGACCGTAGGAACTGCCCCAGACAACAACCGACCCCATCTTGCACTACATGTGGACGACACCATCGCGGAGAATGCCTTGTGGGCCAGAACATTTGTTTTTATTGTCGTCAGCCCGGGCATATCAGTCCCAACTGCCCGCAGCGACTGCAACAACAACCACAACAACAACCGCCACCTCAGCAACCTCAACAACAGCAGCAGCCCAGGCAGCAGCCACCACGACAACCCCAGTAGCAGCAACACCGAAGACAAACAGGCCCGCGTTTATGCAGTCGATCAGGCGGAAGCAGATCAGCACCCAGGTACCATGTCTGGGATGATTATTCTTAATGATGTTCCTATTTTTTCCTTATTCGATACCGGAGCGACCCATTCTTTTATATCACGGCGATGTCTTGACGCCATTGGGGTTCATTCTATTAGCGCTGTCGATCCTCTCGAGGTGAGTTTAGCCTCGAAAATAAAGATAGTGACTGACGCTAGAGCAAAGAGTCTCAGCCTTTCTGTCGGCGGCCGTATATTGACTACCGACGCTTACGTCATCGAGATGAGGGACTTTGACCTCATTCTCGGTATGGATTGGCTAACACGTTTTCATGCAAATATCCGATGTCACGACCAGGAGATTACTCTTTATCTTCCGGGAGATGACCAGATCACTTATTTCGGTTCCAGGACTCGTACTCTGCCCCATATCATTTCCATGGCGAAAGCCAGAAAGATTCTATGACGAGGTGATTGCAAGGATACCTAGTGAGCCTCGTCGGAGACGAACCAAAGGCACGAACACCTCATGACATTCCTATCGTTCGTGAGTTCGTGGACGTGTTCCCAGACAAGCTTCCCAGCGGTCCACCTAGCCGACTGGTGGAGTTTTCTATTGATCTTATTCCGAGAGCCAGACTAGTGTCTAAGGCGCCATATAGAATGGCACCTAAAGAGTTACAGGAATTAAAGTCTTGTTGTTATGTGATTCTTAACAACGATTTAGTTCTGTATTGATTTAATGATGATGATCAATTTGAACGTAAAATATGGGTAAAATGCTCAACAATGGCCCCGGTCCGAGATGAACCGAGGTGAAAAGCTTCTGAGAGCTGTTTCGTGTTTCATGAAAAAAGAGTTCGATTTTGGAAGAAAAAGTCCCCCCCGTACAAGTAGTGTCAGTTCACTATTTATAGTAACTTTTTTCGGTACATATATCGGGATCCGTGCGTTACTTTTTCCATAAAGCTACTTTTTGATGGGCGGTAGACTTAGTGGGCCCCATAGGAATGATAGCAGATCTCCGGGGATCGTGAGAGGGGCGTGTAGGCGACTTGTCACCTGCTTTAGGAGGTGACAACCTCGGTTCGTGTTGAACTCGGTAGGGATTACTCTGGTTGGCGATGGTCACTTCGGTTTTCTAAGGTCATTCCGGTTCGTCCTGCGAACCAGGGAAATGTCGGACCGGGTCGGTGTAAGTGTTAAATTGCTTGAGGCGCTGTTTAGGGCTCTTAATAATGGATTACCGAGTCGGATGATAACAGAGAGGCCCCCAATATCGGCGAGCATACGAAGTGATGGTAGTCGATATTGCAGTACAATTTAAGGCTTCGAATCGGTAAGAAACTGAAAGTTAGACATTATTTATCCTCGATATTCCGATGTGTTTGAGGTAACCGAAGTGGGTTGTGTATTCCGAAGTGGAGCTGATTGCCGAGGTGAGAACACTTGGTGAAAATCTGTTATTGTCTGGGGAGTAAAAGGAGGAATCTGAGCAGACGTAAAGGTCGACGATTTAATGTCAGTGTGAATGGTCGCGCCGTAATGGTCTTAAATGAGGTAACGGTCGTCTTTAATAGAGTGCCATGTGTACAGTAGGCTTCTGTTAGATGAAAGGGTGGAATCGGTTGGATTTAGGGGTCGCGTCGGTTGCACGCGCCCCTAATTAGGATCTCTAACGGTCAGAAATAGGAGATTATAAATAGGGCTTTGCAATTTCCGATTGAACTTTCTTCACTTTCGCTTCAATTCTTGAGCTTTTGCATACAGTAATCTTGTTGTCGAATCTTCCTTGCGAACTTGAGAACTAATCCTTGTGCGCTATTTGTTTGCTGATACTTTGGTAAGTTACGTCTTCAATTTTTATTTGCTTCTTCGTTTCGCATTATTTTTTGTATTTGATGGCGTCGAAGGGAAAGGGTAAGGCGGTGGCGAGTTCTTCTAGTACTGAGTCGGTTCCGTTGGAGGTATATCATGACTCAGAATTGGTCGAATCAGCTTTTGAGTATTATCGGTGGGATCCGATGTTGGTAAGTCACTTGGATATTAAATTGAACGATGAAGATGGCGACTGTTTGGTCGAGGAGAACGTCGTTGATATTGAGGTGCCTCATTGGAGGAGGCCGGTGAGGAAATGGCCTGATCCCGCAGTCGATTTTGAGGACGAGCCAAGTATTCTGACCGATGCCGACGTGGTAATGCTCCGGAAGCAAATACGAATTCCGCCTTCGGTAAAAATTTTTGCACCTTATCCGGGGGAGAGGATAACAAGCCCTCCCCTGGGTTGTGGGGGCGTTTTAGCGGAGAGCCTTAGGTCGGGGTTGAGGTTTCCGCTGCCGAATTTGATTACAGAGTACCTCCGAAGTTGGGGGTTACCATTGTGTCAAATTACTCCTAACAGCTGGAAAAAGATAATTAGGTTAATGGTGTTGTTACACGAGAGGGGTGAAGGTCTGCCATCGTGTGACGAGATGAGAAGTATTTTCGCTTTTAAACAAAGCCCGAAGAGGAGAGTCGCGGAATCTTCGTGCTGTTTCTTTGTCGGAGCGAAACCACAGCATGGTCTTAAGGTCGGTGAGATAATAACCGACATTCCGGAGACTCTTCATGGTTTCCAAGAGGAGTGGTTGTGGATTGGTGGAGAATGGCAATCCGAAAGATTTTTCCATGAACCTCGGATCGATGGGATGACAATCCCGATGTTTATTCATTCTGGAGCAAGTGAGTTCATTTTATTCTGTATTGTTCGTATACTTTTCTGATTTCGGTATTGTTCTGTGTACTAACAGGTCGGTTCTTTGTAGAAAAAGAGACAAAGCAGAGGAACCGAGGTTGAGTCCGGAGTTCAGTGGAAAGCTACTCACACTCGCCGGTTTGGACAAAGATATACGAGATTATCGCAAACTCGTGGTAGATCCAAAGCTTGAAGCTGCTGGTCTATCTCCCGGAGTCTCTACATTGAAATTTGACCCCGGTAAGGGAACTTTAATGTCTGGCGGTTTTGTCAACATTTCAATATATGTAAAATATCTGTTGGTAACTCTGATCGTTTAACGTCTGAATGCAGTATACTATCCGTTCCTCGGATTTTTGGGCTATCGTACTGTTAAAGAGGCAAAGGACTTCAGGCGTAAGTATCCGAATAAGGATCTACAATCCAAATTTGGTAAGAGCCGAGATCTACGATGGACCAACATCATGAGGAGGGATTTGGTCCGTGCTTTGGTGAAGAGAACTTCCAACCAAAAGACTGCTGGCAAAAAATCGACCGAATAGGGTCGAGCGCGACTTCGGCTGCTGTTCCAGGAAGTCCGAAGCTTCCACAAGAAGTTGCTCCTACCGAGGTGACACAAGTTGTGAATGCTGCTGCGATCAATCAGGCAGAGCTTGAACCAAATGTGATAGGAACCGAATTGGCCACGACCGAGCTTGTGCATACCGAGGTGCTGGAGAAACCATCCTCTCCTCCGAAGTCCATAGAGTCTAATCAACCGGAGAAGAGGAAGAAAAGGAAGTTGGTTAAAATGTCTGATTTTGGTGCTTCTTCCGGAGTGGAGAAGAGATCGAAAAAGGAACACGACTCCGGTCGTAGAGTTGTTAAAAAGGGGTCGATGAATCGCCCTTATTCGAGAAATCATTTTTAATAATTGACGAGGAGAGGGCCGCCAACGTCAAGGTGCCCGAAGGTGTTGTGGAGGAGTGGTTCACCACATTTCAGTCTGTCAAGTCTCCATATATGTCGTCAAGGATCGACATGCCAGAAAATGCTAAGAGCGCCGCGCGCGTGCCGTTAATGGTGTGGGACCCCAAATCCAAAGTGGGGGTCTCTTTGTTGTCGAGTGTCGACAAGTTGGGCTATGCTAAGGCGTGCCTGGGCCGAGCTCTGGTAAGTTTGGTAGCGGCTGAGGATGATCACAACCGAATCACGACACAACTGGATGGAAGAAGGACACCATTGCTGCCCGGGATGCCGTGATTGTATCTCTGAAGGAAGAGATGGCTAAAGTTGAAGCTGACATGAAGGAGAAACTTTTTGAACAAACTGTACAGCTGGAGGTGGCACGGACTGAGATCTAGACTTTTTCCGAGGAGAAAAAGGCTTTTCAGACCGAGGTGGCTGAACTTAAAGCGCGCCTTGCCTTTGCCGAGCAACATTTCAAGGCTTTAGAAGCCAAGGCTGAGAAGACAGAGAAGAAGCTGTCAGATGAGAAGGCCGAGCATGAAGCAACTCGTAAAGAGTGTGCCGAGGTCCGTGAACTCGTGGGCCGACAGCGGGATGCACATCAAGCCGAGTTGGCTAAACTTGAAAAAGAAAAGTCGTCTTATGGGGAAACCATGTATGAGATTGGCTTCCAGGCCGGAAAAGACTCACTTCCCGAAGTGGAAGCTGCTCAGGGGGGTAAACCCACGTGCAAACTCTGGATTTTGGAACAGAACAGTGTAGTCTGGTATATTAGGGGCTGCTACTTGTCGTCTGGCGGATTGAGCAGCACTACGACTGTGGCCATCTCGCGATGTATGACCACGATGATCTGAATGACACATGATTGATACGACTTACGTGGAATACTAAACAAGAATCGAAGGTTAACCTCAAATCACTTATGAGGCCCTCCTTCTAGCGCCAAACTGTTGTTATGTGATTCTTAACAATGATTTAGTTCTGTAGTGATTTAATGATGATGATCAATTCGAACGTAAAATATGGGTAAAATGCTCAACAATGGCCCCGGTCCGAGGTGAACCGAGGTGAAAAGCTTCTGAGAGCTGTTTTGTGTTTCATGATAAAAGAGTTCGATTTTGGAAGAAAAAGT